CCTAGCATTCCCTGCAGGAAATGGTTTGTGGATATAGTGTTTCTTAAAAGCACTTTAAGACGGAGTCATAAAACGTCAAAATCTATATTTTGACTTGAATCGTAACGGTGGGACATAAGGACAATACAATTCTAGTTCCATTTATGAAGGGTTAAATTTGTTTTCTAGATGGTCGTATAATTTAAACCTAAAGTAAAGTAAAGTAAAGTAAATTAGAAAGTTGATATGTACAAAGCTCCATCACTTTCATACATAAAGTAACACAAAAATTTTAAAGGGAAGAAAACAAAGAAATAAAGGAAAGCAAATGACAAGTTCGCATATATGACAAATAAAATCAATCATACCGACCATACAAAATTATGTCACTAATTTTCATTTAATGTTATTCTAATTATATGTGATGAAACGAAGCTACCAAAAAAGATTAAAAAAAAAAAAAAAAGGCATATGAACATATATACATAAATCCAACCACGAAAAAACAAAATCATATTAATATATAAAAATATATTTTTTTCTGTTCTCGGTTGCAGCTGTTAAAGGTGGTTCAATTATTAACAAAAAGCCTTCACGATGGGTGCCATTCATGGTTGGACAGTCAAAAGGGGAAGCTCAGTTTCTGCAAAAGTTGATAATACCTTTCAAACCAAACCCTAAACCATTCATTTCAGCTTCAAACATGGTTACTTCTGGTCTAAGAAATTAGGGTTTTAGCAAAGAAATGAGCCCCCAACTTTGTAAAATCCTCAGTTCATTAAACTTTGGAGATAAGTTATTTAATTCCTTAATATTAATTAATCACACACTTAGAGGGAACAAAGTACTCATATTAAACAATAACCCACCAGAATTTTTGTGTACTCAATGAATCGAACTTTCCTTTGTTTGGTTATTTCTTAATTTCCAGCAAGTGGGGTTGCTACAAATTAACCATCTTTAATGATTGCTTTTATATATTTTATTTATTTATTTCTGTCTCTTCCCTGCCCACTTTCAAGTGTCCTCTCAATTAATTACATTACTGATGCATCAATATAGTATATTATACAGCACGGAGCCAATAAAAATGGTATCAAAATCAAACCCATCAACATCTGTGATGATATAATTTAGATATTGTGAGTATTTTGTTTCAATAGATACTCTTATTCTTTGCTTTACTGTGTCCATAGTTTATTTGATGGGGGGAGAATATGAACACCCACATAATAATTTGTGCCAATCTATGGAAGATAAAGAGGTGGATAAGGTAGTTGAGTGGAATTGACAAAACGAAGTGGTGGGTAAGTGGATAAATAATTGGGTGTAATCTATTATTTAATTACCAATTAGGATACATGATTATCAATCTAAAAGTGGGTCATGGGTCATGTAAGCAAATTCACTGGGAAAATTATTGGGATCTTATTTAATGTCACTAAATTCATTCATTAAAATAAGTTAAAATATCGTTGGAACTTACTTGAACTAAGGTTAAGTCAAAAAAAAAAAAAAAAATTAACATAGTGGGATAATACTGAATTTGATTATTACGTAACCAAATCACAGACAAATTCTTGGATCACCCAACAACAATAATGTCGAGTGAAAACTTATGTGTATGGTTTGAAATAGAGCTAAGCTATTTTGGTTTCCAATGTTTCTCCTCGTCCAACGAGATGCATTAACTTTGGGATGCTTTACTCCTAACCCCACGAGATTTCAAGACACGGCTTAACCTGAGCTTCAGGTGAGAACTTCCTTTATCATATATATCTGAATACAATCTCAATTTTCCAACACATACACGGTTTGTACGCATAATTATTTCATTGAAATTGGAGTAGCTAGTTTGAGGTAGTGTTAGAGTACACTAAAAACTCATTAATAATTATGTATGTCCCTAAAAAGATTTGGCAATTACATGACGTATATGAAATGACCCAAAATCATTATCATAATTGAAGAGAATAAATTGAAGTGATTGGAAAGGCCACAGCCATGTTTGAAAAGGAAAATTAAAGATAGAGAGAAAAAGAAAATGGGTGGGTGACATATCAAATTGGTAGAGCAGAAGTAGTCTTCCCGCCAATTATTAGATTTTGTTGTCATGCTTTATGTTAATGCAGATAAATAATTTTGCTTTTTGAAGCACTTGCTTATTTATAGATTTATCAACCATTCAATACGCATATATCAACTCGGGGGCACTGGGTATGTCTTGTCATCAATAGACGACTCAAACATTCCTCTCATTAATTATGTTCCGACGAAAGAAACACGAAGAATTAAAGTTGAAGCCTTTAGTTTAGTAGGCCTATTGCTAAGTTCGATTCCTTGGACTCTTGATAGAGATGGTAGCATGGGATGTCACCTCAGATTCATCTACTTAGTTAAAGACATTAAATTTGTACGAGTTAAATTTAAAGGAAAAGAGAAAAGGGGTTTGAAGATGGGTGGTGAATTACTGTGTGAGAGCATTTGATTTGGGAAATGGGTCCATGAGGGGGTTGTAAAGTTGATGAGGGTGGGGCATGCAACATGTGGCCTTGTCCTGAAATGGAACAAAACATAGAGGAAATTTGATTTGTCTCCTTCTAGTAATAGACACTCAAAAGGACACAAAGGCCAAACAAGAATTCACCATCATGTTTCTTTCCACCCTCTCTGCTCACTAACAGTAGAAAACGATAATTTCCTGTGTTCAATCACCTTCATGGATTCCGATCCGGTACTCAAGAGAGCCTCCCACCATTGCTAGCATATCACATCTCCTTTGGCACAACATTCAAAAAATAAAAAACATTGTATTAGCTTGGCTAGGTAGAAGGGTCTTATCTTCTACGGATGAATAAGGTGGTTCGAAGTACACATAATTAGACTACACAATGTAGCCTTTATTACTCGATTTAGATATAGGCATACTATCGAAAGTGGGAAGATTTTAAAAGAAAGAAGCAGGTACTAGTACGACATCCAATCAAAACAACCAAAAGTAATCATCCAAGGAAGTGCACTGATCATAGTGAATGGTGGGAATCATAATCAGCATATTGTGTTGTGTGTCCATATAATGGAATGTATGTAGATATCGACCCCATTTACTCTTCTGTGTTTCGAACGCCGATGACAAACAAATCTGATTTGCAGAAATTTCGAGGCCCATTTTCATGTTCTTTTTCTTCCCCAGAGGTCTCGAGTGCAGTTTGAATTAACCCCCAACTTTTTTTTTTTATTACTTTCAACAGAACAGAACCTTTCTTGTCCTATCTGATTTCTCCCGCAGCTGGATGGTTTGATTTCTTTGCCGATGGTAAGGTAATGGATCGATGACTTTCCATCTACTGTTTTCTCTGACATATTCAAGCACAATAAGTTTAGTGCTACATTTTTGGTTAGCCTTTCTTATCCTTTTTGGATATCCAGGCTATTGTTCCTATAAATGATAGTACTGAGTTCCAAACTTCATAAACTACTTCAGCTGTCTCCAAATCTTGCTCAAACTGCAGTTTAGCAACTATCTTTATGAAAATGTGGTTTCCAAAAATTGAAAAACAAAACGCAGCATGTAATTGACCTCTTCATCTCAAATTATTGGCTCAATAAATTTGTATTCCGTATGACGTTAGCCAAGCGGAACCACCTAGTGGTGGTTAGCCTCCAACCTGGGCAATAGAAAACTAAGCCACAACATTAGCTTTCTCGCCACATGAAGATAAAAACTAAGCATCAAACTCCTAGTGTAATAGCATGCAGAGTAGACCATTTTGTGACGGTCCTCTGTGCTTCCTGAAATTTCACTATCAATATATCCCTCGGCTCATATTGTTCCAGCACAACGAAGCTATGTCGCCCAAAAGTTTAGGGGGTATTTATCTTTTCTATCTGCTAGTGTACTATTTGGGACCCCATTTTGCTGAAAGCATACTCCAAACTCACATGGGCAAGGCATCGGTAAAAGCCAGGCTTCCCCAAGAATCGGGAGGGCCACAGAGTCATACTATTCAATGTATTATGAACAATTGCCATCTCCAAATTCCCACAAGACAAGGACCTGCTAGAGTTAGAAGAAAACATGGGGTCAAACCAAAAATCAAGAAAGTCGATCAACCAAATTTAACAAGAGATGCATGATAGATTGAGATTGATTAAAATAAATTAATAGTGATGTTTTCATGTTGTGTCAACCACTCTGAAACAATCATGCATTTTCCCAATCATAAAAGAGAGGGATATCAGGGGTTATGGAATGTGTCACAGAAGGCACCAAACAAGGTGGGGAAGAAGACAAGAACAGAATGGAGTGGCGTATTGCACCAAGGAGAGAGGGAGAGAGATGATATGTGTGGAGGATGAGTCAGTCACCAATAAAATGAAAAGAACAAATGCGATAGCGCACTCATTTCCAACTCAAGGGAACACATACTTTTTTACATACTCCAGTTGAAAGCAGAGGGCAAGGGTTGCATGACCTGAAGGGTGCGATTCCCTGACTCATGTCCCACCACCGGCCACCTGGGTTATCTCCAAAATTCTCTTTCGATTCGTAGTCCAATCTCCCACCACCGCGATGCTGCTAGTGGATTGCTGTCTTACACCCGCTTCGCTTTCCCACTTCCAAGATTGCCTACATCATCTAAAAACGACAAAAGCAGAACAAACAGCAGTGCATTAGATTTACTGCTCAGGTTATCAAAAGGGCATGATCTAGCACCCCACGCCAGACGCTGCCTACGGCCTTTTTGTAGGCGGCTTACCACCCCGGACAACGGCACGAACTTGTATACTCGTACTACTGGAGTGCTTGCGCCGATGTTAAGTCAAAAAATTACATATCCAAGACAATTGCCTTAAGCAACGATGTCTGAGTGAAGGTTATTATTAAAAATAGCCAAATCCTGTAAAAGGTAATATTTAGAACGCATCATCACACAACATAACTTGGTAATCAATCTTATACAGGATTAGGAAGGTGACGCTTTTCTCTCCGAGGATGAAGACCATGAGTTGAGGTTCAATGAAACAAATCCAGGGTAACCAACATCCTCTTGAAATAAACAGGACACTCTCAAACGATGCTCCATTAACAGTTTACAATTTGAGGAACTTAAAGTCCGTAGTTTCAAGGATTCGGTTGGTGCAAACAACCAATTCTAAGGCCAATAATTTAAAAGGAGTTCACATAAAACGACATTACCTACCAATAGCAATATAACGTTATACATCCAAATAACTAGTTAGTCACTGATGGCTTGAAATGTAGAAAGATACAACTCCGAACAGAAGCTAAATTGTAAAAGCTATAGTGCCATACAATGGAAGTGAAAATCTATCTCAATAATGTGTTCTGCAGGACGAACATCATTTTCCCCTGAAATTTGAAGGGAAAAAAAGGTTAGCTGGGGTAAGAGAAAGGGAGAGGAAGGGCAAGTTCAATTTCACTTACGTGTTCATCATTAACGTAATGTTGTCTCCTTTGAGAAGAATCCTCCCTGAAGGGGAAAGAAAAAAAACAAAGAAGGCATTTTAGAAAACCATTGAATTAGAGAGAAGGCAACAACAAATGAGGGGGAAGAAGGCATACCGAGTGTTTTTTTACTCTTTTTCTTAATATTTACTTCCTCGGCATCATCGAGAACTAAATTCATGTACTCATCAAATCCCTGCACGGTCAAGAAAATATAATCAATTTAAAGATAACACCAATATAAAGGAAACAGCTTCTTCTAACTGCACCTCCCTTATAAGTTATAACAATAACATTAATTAGTCAGCCAAAACATAGGTAATTACAACAAACGATGAAACAACAAAATTAAAATTTTCTAGTACAAGATAATCATAAACATATTACTGCATGTATATTACAGAAACTGAGGCATATGAGCTAATAGTTGAGAAAACTACAAACTATATATTATAGAAAACTAGGAAAAAGTAGACGTCCAAACAACAATTTCTTTGCGGGAAGGAACAGTTTCATGGACTGTATGAAATTATAAAAGAGGAAAGTGAAGTCCAAGGCCAAGGGAAATATCTACTCAGCGATGAAAATGACAATCCTAGCAATGGATCTAATAATGAAAAGATAAGCAGGATACTGAGATTACACCACAATCTTTGCAGCAGAGTGTTACTCCCTAGTTAGCTTGTTGAACCAGAGAATGAAATATATCAAAAGATAGTGATCCAGACGAGATTACTAGCAGTAGAACCACTCCCAATGTTTTTCAAAGTGCATTTTGAACTCTATGGCTATAGCTTTTACTAGCTTAGAAATTAGAAGCAATAGATGCACAAAAGCATCTCAGAAGAATTACATCGCAATAATCGTGAAAAGTAGATGAATAGGACATGAAATATGCTACTGCGTTCAAATTCAACATATCAAAAGTCAAGACGCTAAGACTAAATTCACTTAGTTCACATGAGGAATAATGAATCCAAAACACTTGCTGACTGAATTCTGAATACAACGTTCAACCCCTGGTGGTAGGAAAAGTTTTAGGATGCACAAGTCACAACATTTCATAAATTGATGAGGATAATCCCGCACAAAATAGATAGGAATCAAGCTTAATTGAGTAATAGAATAATAGGAGAATAAACTAACTTCATGTAGGTGTCGACCAATGGAAATCAATCCCCAGGCAAGGGGATATCTCTTAAGAAAAGTACTATTCAAGATTTGCTCCAGCAACAGAAGATGAAACAATTTCATACAGAATACTGCAGATCACAGAGGTAATTGACCATTGCGCTCAGAATTATTTGAGGTTTCAGGGAAAACAGAGTTCCGACCAGAGAGTTTGATCAATTGGACAGAATACTGAGATATAACTCTATGTCCCACACCTCTACCTTATTACATTACAAGATGAAGACAACTACTACATCATGCACTGGCTAAGTTTTGGAGGAAAGAGATGCACTACCTCTGATTACCTTAAATTTCAACTACCAAAGCTCAACAAAAAATGAAGACTATGCGATGCCTCCATTGTGAAAACTTATTCTAGGAAGGATGAAACAGGAAATTTCAGATAAGCTGGCGGCCTGCTTACATTTTCCTTTCTGCTGAATGTTTTTGCCAATTTGGCTGTTTCGTGAGGTTTTCTGAAATTAATAAATAGAATAGTTTTTTCTTTTGGGTATTTGTTGTTTGCTGTCTTTTGTTGAGTTAAACACGTCCATTGTAAGGCTGATACCATACAAACTCTTGAAGGACGATTCTAACCATACAAATATTTTCATTAGAGACTCAATCTATCTAAAACTGAGAGCCAAAAAAACATTCACTATCTGAACAAAGAAATGAATTTTTTTCCCTTTAAGTTCAATGATCTATGTGCCCAAAGAAATGAGGTTTTTTTTGGGGGGTGGTGGAGATTACATACTTCATGCCAATTGAGCTATGCTCATGTTGACAAAGAGAAATGATAACACTATGGTCCATTCCCATTCCTAGAGCAAGTTTGCGTGATAGCCACATAAGCAGCAATTTCAAGCTGTGTCCAAGATTTTGCCCAATTTCCTGCATAACTCTCGATGGCAGTGTAAAATGCAACCAAAATACTGAAGCACAATCTTGAAGTCATGCGAATTTATTTTGGGGCATGGATTAGGTTCAAATTCAAATAGTAACAAATAAACCGCCTACACAACCAAATTTGTTTGAACTCTAGAAACTTTGCCCAGATTCACAATGTGGAGTAGGAGTTTGAGGTCCTTCGTCAGGATGATATAAACCAACACATCTCAATCATATAATATGAACTTCAAGGAAGAAGAACCTCATTTATTCTTAGATGGTTACAAATTTTGGGTGAACGAAAATATAGAGTTAACGGTGTTTCATTAATATATGTTAAGACTATTATTTACCTTAAGGTTACATTTACATAGTGGATAATTATGTCATAGAGTATGAAGGTTACAACTCTTGAAATGCCTCATAGAAGGTCAAGAGTTCATTTTGAAGTTATATAAAGTCATGTATATATAGACTTGGAAAATATAGTAAAAAGAGCATTTGTGTTTTCTTTTAGTTAAGAGCTAAGTTTCTTTGAAATTCAACGTAGTTTAGGCTACATGTTTAGAATTATCCAAGGTTGACTTGATCGATCTAGCTTGTGTAGTGATTTGATTCTCAAATCATTTGAAATGAAATCAACTCGATTTTGGAGTGTGAACTAGGAGTTTGCATATCAAAAACGTTTATGAGAGTCCTTAGATTCAACTAGCTTGAGTTACCACACAAGACATCTAAGAACTTTTTAACACATTCATGTCCTGTTCTACACTAAAATCACAGGATTTCTGTAAGAAGCATGTGGGAGAGTAAATTGCATCCACTATGAATTTGGAGTTCTATAAATCATGAACATAGGCCAACAAGAAAAGAAGAATGCAGTAAACCCATTAAACTACCAAGAAGAGATCAACATATACGGAAACAGAGGCTTTCGATGCATATTACATTAATTGCCAATATAGAAAAAAGAACTGTAAACCAGCAAAAAGTAAAACCTTACAATAATTCGGCCCTCGATCCTAAGGTCCTTTTGCTCAAACAGCCAAATCTGAATGCGAGCTTTCTGCATTTATTTCAAACCCGAATTAGAAAACCAAATTAGACCAGAAAAGCCAGGTGCGATAACTTTTTTAAAAAAGAATGGAGGAGTAACTTCTTACACTTTGAAGAAACCTGAATATCAAGTTCTAGTTCCAGAGAAGCACCGGGATCGAGAGGGAAAAGACAAAGATACAGAACCCATCAGTAAAGCACAGAAATAGTTTAAAGTCAGCGCAAGTAAGAGCAACAAAGGGAGGGAGATGAATAGATTGAATACGTACAATGGGCTGGGTCATAATCCTCTGCACTTTGGTGCTCGCCATGGCTATAAAATTGGTTAGGAGGCGAGAGGGCCTTGCCTGTTAGACTTCCAGGAGATGCGAAACGAAACCCTAGAGAACGCTTCTTGAAAGTGGAAGTACCCCGCGCTCTTTAGGCGCGCCCTAACGAGTTACGAATTAAATTTTAAAAATTATTCTAAAATATGTTTTGTTTCAATAATCTTTAAATCTTTAAAATAAATAATAAAAAATAAAAACTTCAAATTACTTTTGATCTTTAAAAATATTATACTGTTATTATTAAAATTTAGAAAAATAATGGTAATAATTTGTATAATAATATTTATAAACGGTAAACAAGCAGTAATTCCTTATTGCCACTAAAACAAATTCTTGCGAATGGAAAAGGTTGAATTTCTACTAATTCCATTAACACATATAATATATATATATATATATATATATTTTTTTTTTTTTTTCTACATGATTATGATGAGTTAAGTTTCTATATATTTTTTTAAATAAAATTGAGTGATAGAATTGAGCTATAATAGACTATATTTTAATATATTTTTAAAATTTTTCCTCAAAATTTAAATATATTTATTAGACTCAAGATTTAAATGCATTTAATAAATAGAGATTTTTCACAGTTACAAGATACAAGAAATGTTTTGTCCCCTCCCAATAATAAATAAATTAAAGTAATATTAACCCACATAAAAATATAATTGCACTAACCAAATTAGCGGATGGTTGTCTGTTAGCTATAGGGTAACGACACATCCACATTTGACCTCAATATGAGTATTGATTTATGTCTTGTATATTGCGAATAAACTCAAAATATCGTTTAGCTGGTGAAGTATGTTCTATAGATTAGAGTCAAATTTGGTTACGTTCCTTTTAATTAATAAAGCTTCCAACTTACAAGTTGGGAGGAAATACCCCTCACTGACGTGCGGTTGAGAAGTTAATTATATTCAATGACCATGTCGTGATAATTAAATTTACAAAAAATAAATAAAAACGACAACTTCTGATGAACTCTGATGTTTATTATGTAGGAAAGAAACTGCGAAATCTCGCAACCGTGAATTCATGAAAAGTAATTAAATGTGTTCGATCAAAAGTCATCCAAAAAAATGGTTAGTTTACTGATGCGTTCATGCACTAAAGGCTTACAAAAATGAAGAACACAAAAAACCCATTATTCAACATCCTATTAGCATTAAAAAAAGTAGCACTGGGAATAGATTATTTCTTTAAATATGCACAAAAGCCAAGCTTGATTCCGTTCCTTACAAATTTCACAAATTTCCTGAGTTTCTACAGATCTTACGTAATTAAATGATGCCCAAATCGTAGGACTTTTTCCTAGAAATTACTAGATACGGTATCATTTGACCACCGAAAATTGAATCAAATACCTTCCCATTCATCCATCGTTATCTATGTGCGTAGGAGCTTTCATCACCAATTAATAAAGCAAAATGCAGCTTTTTTTACCACTTACTCGAAAGCTTAACGTAGAAAATGAGTTGCAGGTAATTCTGTGGTTGGACCATAAACTTCACAACTATTTCACGCAGTGACGCTTGCCGGTGGATACAATTTCCCCAGAAATTGCATAAATGGTATAGAGTTGTAGTAATTGAAGTTAAAATAACCCATTTTTTTCCAGGAAAGAACCATCCAAATACAGAAACGGAAGTCAAGGTCTGGAGTGACCTATTTGCAACCGTTTGATCAATCGATTATGAAAAAGGATATGACTTTCTAACTGGGTTCTTTTTAAAGATTCTTCCAGATATACCCATGCACGAAAATTCGTGAAAATTCAGTGGGAAGAAGGGACTAAAGATAATAACAAAGGAAAAAAAATAATAATAACGACACCGTTTGAGCAGGGGAGTGTCGCTATAAATGAACAAGGGGTAGAGGAGCCGGAAGACACAAACGAGAAATGGAGATGAAGGGGAAGAGTAAAATAAAAGCTCCATTTTGGTTGATTTGGGGTTTGTTGATTTGGGTTGGGTTGAGTTGTGCGGCCAAGATTGATGTGGAAGAGGAGGTAATGAATGAAAACAGGACAGCGGTGAATTTGATACATGTAGGGGCGGTTGTAGATAAGCTGACTCCGTCCATCGGTGGGGCTGCAGAAAAATGCATTCAAATGGCACTCACGGATTTCTATGCAGCGCATCCATATTATCGCAACAGATTGATTATGCATATCAGAGATTCACAGGATGTGGTCGCCGCAACGTCGGCTGGTGAGGTTTTCTTTGCCCTACTTGGCTTACTTTTGTTGGGACTAATGAATTTTAAACGTGGCTCGTGACCCTCGTCGAAGCTGGTTGAAGAAATATCTTTATTTCGATTGAGAATCCGACGGAGTCAGTCGGAGGTTGTTGACGGTAGGGAGAGAGGAGGGTTCTAAATATTTTTTAAAAACTATTTCAAGGTGGTTCATAATTGGCTTCTACAAAAATTATTAAATTTTCAAACAGCCAATTATAATGTTTCAAAAGTGTTTTTTTTTTTTTTTTTTTTTTTAAACTTCGGGCTCATTGATTTATTATGCTCATATCATGAAGATTTAAATCGTTGAACTTATTTAGAGTAAATTTTCCTAATTCTTGACAATATTTAGATTTCACACTTGTAGAGGACACAAGAGCTACTAATGTGACATTCCAAGGAATATCATCCTAGCAATGTATTATATATTATTTCACAAGGTTGGAAATAATATAATTCTTGAAATAAAAGACCCATGTTCTAAAAATATACATTTTCCCTTAATGTCAGAATTGTATTCTAATTTTAAGAATAAAATTTCAGTAAAAAGATATTTCAATAACTATTCTCCATTTTTTTTTTTTTTTGTCTTTTATTATTTTGTATAAAAAAAATATCTTTAACCATACTTCTAAATTAAAAAAAAAAAAAAATATATATATATATATATAAATTAAAAATTTTTAAAAGTAGCGTCATCCCGATTTATTAAATTTTTTTATCATCAATGTATGGACGAAAATTATGTACCAAAAATTTTAATAAACTTATTTTTTAAGAAAGTTGTAAAAAAAGTTTAAAACGTTATTAAGGAAAGTATTAAAACAAGCATCTAAATCTATATTGAAACAAAGTTTAAAAGTTAAAAAAATATAAACAATTTATTTATTTATTTTTTGAGTGGAAGGGTATTATTAAAAATCTTATGTATTTTTTTTAGAAAACTATTTTTTATTAATTTAGTAATATTTATATATACTATATACTCTCGTATTAATAAATAAATGATGCGGTAATTTAAGGCACTGCACTATGTGAGATTAAACTGGAAGAAGTGTGAGTTAGAGTTGATTAAAAGAGAGATTAATTTTCATTACTTAAAAAACTTTAGAGTATGTTTAATAAATAAGTGACGTGGATAATATTAATGGCTGCAGTGGTGGATTTAGTGAAGAACCAAAAAGTGCATGCAATAATAGGGCCAGAAAGTTCGAGCGAGGCAACGTTTATGATAAAGCTAGGCGAACAGATTCGCGTGCCAATCATTTCATTTTCCGCCACCAGCCTCTCCATTTCTCCCTCGCACAGCCCCTTCTTCGTCCGAACTGCCCAAAACGACTCGTCTCAGGTCAAAGCCATCACCACCATCGTCCAAGGGTTCGGTTGGCACGAGCTCGTCCTCATCTACGAAGACACTGAATATGGCAAAGGCCTCATCCCTTTCCTCACCGATGAACTCCAACAATCCAACATTCGAGTCCCTTATAAATACGCTATTGCTACCTCCATGGATGCGTACCAAATTTCGGAACAGCTCAATAAGATGAAGAACCGGCAGACCAGGGTTTTCTTGGTGCACGTCACTTCTCCATTTGGGTCCGTTCTGTTTCCGCTTGTGGACAAAGCGGGGATGATGAGTGAAGGCTATGCCTGGATTCTCACCAACTCTCTTTCCAATTGTCTTGACGCCATGGATCCTTTGGTTATCAAATCAATGGAGGGTGTTTTAGGTATCCGCCCCTATTTCCCTGCTTCAGAAGCGCTGGAGAGTTTCAAAAGGAGATGGAAATGGTCGAAGCCGGAGCTTAACATCTATGGCTTGTGGGCATATGACACCATTTGGGCGTTGGCTACGGCGGCTGAGAGGATAGGGGAAGGGAACAATCTACGGTTTCTCAGGGGTCAGGGTAGTGATGTCGAGGGGAAAACCGATATTGCGAATTTGGGGGTTTCGGAAGTGGGTCCGAAGCTGTTGAAGGAGATGTTGAATATCAAATTTCAGGGTTTGAGTGGGAATTTCCACTTGGTAAATGGGCATTTGCAGCCCTCGGCTTTTGAAATTTTCAATCTGATTGGGAGAGGAGAGAGATTGATTGGTTGTTGGAGTCCTGAAAAAGGCATTTGCCGAAACATATCTGATACAAAACATACTGAAAAATATTCCACTTCAGTCAGTAAGCTGAAGAAGATAATTTGGCCTGGAGACTCCATTACTGCACCAAAAGGCTGGGCTGTGCCTGCAAATGGAGAAAAAATCAGAATAGGAGTTCCCAAAAAACAGGGGTTTAATGAGTTTTTGGATGTGACTAGAAACCCTCAAACGGGGGAGCTTAATTTTTCTGGGTTTTGCATAGATGTCTTCAGGGCTGTTGCAGATGCCTTGCCATTCCCTTTTCCTTATGAATTTGAACTCTCCAGGGATGAAGCTGGGGACAGCTCTGTTATTTATGATGACCTCCTCCACCAACTCAACGAGAGTGAGAAGGTCAGTGCTCTCCCATTTTACTTTAATCTCAACTATTGCTTAATGGCCATGTCCAGCAATATGTCCCAGAATTTGCTTCCATAGCTTCTGCTCTCCTTTGACTACCAACATTTTTCAATGTTCCAGTCACTTGGACAAGTTAAAATCTGATATCCAAGTTAATAACACGAGCTTTTATATTTAGTATTATAAATTCCTTATATTCCTATGTTCACATTGGACTATCAACAATGCATTGAAGTAGGGAGTTATATACTAATTTTGATGAATTGAAGGGTTGACGCTTATCTTATGTTTGGTTTTTTTAACTTTTTGAGTACGAGAAGAAATTCGATGTGGTCGTAGGAGATATTACGATTGTGGCCAACCGAGCAAATTATGTAGATTTCTCATTGCCATTTACCGACTCGGGCGTGACAATGCTCGTTCCAGTCAAACGCAACTTGCATCGTAGTATGTGGGTTTTCTTGAAACCTCTGAGCTTGGGTCTATGGCTTACGGCCATAGCAGTTTCCATAGCAACAGGAGCTGTTCTACTGATCTTAGAGCACAATGGAAGAAGTGAATCGTTGCGTCCATTGAATCTACTCTGTTTAATCCTCTGGTTTCCCGTCTCCTCCATGGTTCTCCCTGAAAGTAAGCCCAATTTTTTTCTATATGCTTGTCGGATTGAGAAACAAGAAAATTGAAGTTCCCATTTTGTTTTTGTTGAACAGGACAAATCGTGACTAATACACGCTCTAGGTTTGTGCTTGTGGTTTGGTTGTTTCTGGCTTTTGTCCTAATGCAGAGTTACACCGCAAGCTTGTCTTCAATCTTAATGTCGGATCAGCTACAGCCCAAGTATTTTAGCGTGAGTGAACTTATATCCAAGGGCTACTACGTTGGATATCAAAAGGGTTCCTTTTTAAAATCTATGTTGATAGAGCAGCTGAAATTTAATGAATCCAAGCTGAAATCTTATGCAAACGTTGAGGAGTATCGTAAGGCATTGTCCAAAGGAAGTCAAAATGGGGGTGTTGCTGCAATCTTTGATGAAATTCCTTACCTGCAGGTTTTCCTTACAAAATATGGCTCCGATTTCACTATGGCTGGACCTAAATATCGAACAGACGGATTTGGCTTTGTAAGTGTCTCTTAAACAATATTCAAAGTTTCTCAATTCGTATGTGCACCTGATGATTAATAGTCAAGGGACAAAAACATGAACAATCCCATTGCTCAAAAATCAAATTTTGCTTTTGCTTTGGCCTTAAAAGTTGAGTTCTTGACACCATGTAACTGAGAATGTGTTATTATTATGTGAACAGGATCTGTTCTATTAGTTGTACTACTTTTGTATGTATTATTATTACAGTGGTTCAACTTCAACTGAAGTTGCTTGTTAATTTCAGGCATTTCCACTAAATTCCCGGTTAGTACCTTATGTATCAAGAGCAATATTGAACGTGACAGAGAGCGAGAAAATGGTGGCAATTCAAACAAAATACTTTGGAGTTGGAAATCAAAATCAAGACAGCTCAATCTCCTCACCGAACAGTCCATGTCTAGAGGCGTCGAGCTTCGGGGGCCTCTTTATAATCACCGGGATATCGCTGCTGCTGGCTTTAATCGGCTCAAAAACCTTCGTCTGGCAAAAACCTGCCTCAGTGGCAAAGACCTACTACAGAAAATATGTGTCGTTTCAGCAGCATTTGCATTCTGATGTGAAGGATAAGGTAATGGACGACAGGTTGAAATTGCCAAATACTAACACATTGGAGACTGTTTCAGCTGGCGCGGATCATGGCTGCCACGATGGAAGTGCGAGTCCCGCAAAGCATGTCACAGAGAGCACTAGCTAGCTTTAATCTTCGATCAGCACAACTTTTCTACACTTAAAATAGCATTCAAAGCAACCATTTTCATATGGAAATCGCGCCAGATGATCATAGATTTTTAACTGGGTCAGTTCTAATGCTTTGATCTTCCCAATTAAAGTAATCAATCTAAGTTTTACTTTCAAGAACAAAATCCCCCCATGGAAGAAAAAAAAAATTATGATTCAGTTCATCTAGTCGATTCCAGCAACTTGTTGATCTCAATCTGATAGGGTCAACAGACGATTTCTGATATTTCTTCCGTTCCCACATTGATTGAGATTGTTTCGAGAAACAAAAAGAACTAGATGATTAGGTCCAGGTCATAAATTCTAGCGGCTGGTTGGATAGGAATTGAACTGAAGATGATACAGTTAGACATGTTTCTCCTGAAATAATTTTAAATACAGATCAAGTTTAGTCCTATCTGCAAAAATTATGTACATCTGAAATCCAAATATTAGAATCTCTGTCTATAGATTGAGTGTATTGCTTGTTATATCGTATCATCATACAATCAAATACGCAACTACGTTTATACATGCCGTGATATGTGATATTTGCCTATAAACATGTAGTGCAAAATTTCCAGCAAAATTCGGAAAAACCTTTATGTTGTAATGTCCAGCGCGCAGGTACGTCCGTTTAGTCATCGTTATAATAAAGTAATGTGTCCGTGAAAGGTATGATTTCAGTCTTAACCATCAATATTTCTCAGGCTGCGCTGGCTTCCTTCTGCAAGCTGCGTTATTGCTTGCTCACAAACTGGGTTAAGAAAATCAATTCTTCATGACCTCCCTGAACGGCAAGGCCAAAGCCATTATTATGACAAGATTTGCCGCCCGATCATGCTTGTCCAAAGTATGTTTTCCATCGTTAATCTCTCTACTCCATAGACATTACATCTCTTATTGCATGCCCATTTACCATCTTTGATCATGAATTGTCATCAAAGTTCTGGAAGAAAATTCTGATTTATGGCGAATCATTGTACATATGGGTAAATATAGTTGCTTTCTATGGTGTCTTCATATAAGACGCGTTTGAATCAAAGAATAGAATTTGCATCTGATATGTCCATAATCACATATAATGAGGTACATTATTAGTTGAAGTGCATTATTCTTAAGTAATCTGTAAAATATTCGTCATTCCCAAATTTCATTGCGAATGTTCAAGATGGTTAGATGATAATAACCATGACAGTCGATCGACTTGTTAAGTCCAAGTTGGTCGGCCCAGAACTCAGACTCCAAAGGAATTTGATAGTAACTGAAGTAGTTCGGGGTGCAGTAGGAGAAGACAGAATGAGTGAAAATTATGAGGCCCTTCTAGAGATTTCTATCGTGTTTTAATATTCGGAGTATTTAGGTTGTTGTAGGCATAGGCAATAAAGTGAAAAGGAAAGGGATCCTGAAGACTCTGTGGAGATGAAAATGAAGAGAGGTACTGAAAAGAGAAAAGTTTGACTTGTAGATGTTTTGGGGAAGGCAGCTTTATGGGCGGCTGTTGCTCAGACGCATGTTTCCGTTTCAGCTTTCCTTGTTTTCCTTCTCTTACCCTCTTGGTTTGCTTCGATTTAGCTTTCCCATTGGCAGCTTTTGTTGCCTTTTTTAAGGGTCGTGCTCTGCCTTTTTCAACTTTAGTTTCCTCTGCCTTTACACCCCCTGAGAATCAGAATCTCTTACATAAGAACAGAAAGCGCACCCACAGTCACTTTTAATTCCACCCCTTCCACACAAACTTCACCACTAATAAATGTGTGTTGGTATTGATTATGCCGACAAGGGGTTGGTTGTTATTGATTGTTGAGGACGAGGAAGGAAGTTCCACAGCCCCACACAGACTTCACCACTAGATAAAGCATGTCTGTCTCTTTTGCAAATGTATCTAAAAGTGTATACCATTGATGACCTTTTTGAAGCTTGTATTAGAAGTATAATAGATTATTGTTGATTAATGTTTAGAAGAAAAGTTGAATCATTTAGTCATTTTGAGTATTAACAATGTCATCATCAACTCAAGGAGGGAAGTTGGATTGTAAAGGAAGGCCTTTTTGGTGGCTTTTTGTATTTGGTCATCTCAAAAGCAACACAACTTCGCTTTATTCTAAAACTATAGAAAGGTAGTGGTGGGGATTGGATTGGATTGGATTGGAGAGAAAGTCCACATGCTTTGGATGCAAGAAGCTACCTAAACTTTTTAAAGGCGATGCTTCTCAAATTTCCCTCAAACTTTGCAAAAAGTACTTTTATTCCCTTCCCTATCTTGAAGTTTGACCTTCATCCAACAAAAATTACCATATTGCCCATCCATATTGCTAATTCTTTGCCAGAAATCAAGTGGGGTTAAGCTTTTTTGTGGCGTAGAAGAGTTTAGGTCTGATTGTTGGGTCCCGATCATAAATCTTGGAGGTCAATCTTTTTGCTATCAGCTATCACCTTTGGAAAGCCCTGAATCATAAATTTGAAGAGTTAGCTGTGTCTTTCGGTTCCTGTTTATAAAAAAGAAGAAAAACATGAAGTTAATATTTATTATGTATTTCTATTGATTGTTTTTTTTTTTTTTTATATGAGGTTTTTGTTATTTTGTTGCGTGCAGATAGACTCTTCTTTCTAATTATTATAATTAATAATGATTTTAAAAGATATACAAACAGTACAAAAAGAAAAAAAGGGTGGTGAATAATTGTCATTTTAATAATTGAAAAGCAAGATGGGTCCACTAATGAAAAGGGATGGAAAAAAAGGAAGGTGATAATTAAATTAAAAGGAAAAGGAGAGGGGAGGGGGAGTGGATAAGAGGCAAAAGCAACCCAAGTTTTGAAAAAATTAATAATTATAGACACATGCCGAAAGTCAAAAGGCATAATGACCGAGGAAAGATTTTTTTTTTTTTAAGAGTGTGAAAACCTATTCCTAATACAAGTGAAATGCACCTATGTGTTAAAAGGGTTTAGATTAGATATTTGATAGGAAATAAGTGGGTGGAAATTGAAAAGGGGTTAGGTCAAAGTGGCGAGTCAGGCTAACCAAGTCAAATCGTGTGGGGGTGAGAGAGGCCAACTAGGAGAAACCATATGGCGGCAAAGTAAACCAAACCCGAAGCCGCGTTCAATACCTTTTAATTTGTCAAACCTAATTAATGAAACAAAACTTCCCTTTGTTTCTCCGTCTCCTCGCCGACCTATTTAATTTCAACTCACCTCCCCCAAATATTTTTCACATCTTTTCTATAACATTTTTAGTTTTATTATTATAGAACTAAACTAAATTATATAAAGTCAAGCACAGAGGGTAGCCCGTCCACTGTTGGAGTCTAATATCTTGGTATATACACGGTTCAATGTCTAACTCTGATATTATTTTATAAAAAAAAAAGGAAAAAGGAAATGGAACTGGCGAGCGTAAGCGGTTGGTAATACTTTAAATGGATCAGCAAAAGTGGGGGAATACGACAAAAGAAAGAAGGATATGATTTTAAATAGTTTTATTGTGGGGGGTAAACCTGTCATTTGGAAGGCATGAAAAGTTAGGGAAGAAGGTTCATGTGACAGAAGGGGGCATCTAATCATCTAAATGTTACCTTTTTGGGAGGTGGAATTCTACCTTATAAAATTGCATTTAACTCATTATTTAATTAATTTTAAAAGTTAAACTGGAAGAAGTCACAACACAACACAACAGACAGACAGGAAACTAAAGATAGATTGTAGATGGGAAATGAACCGAGTAGTCTACTTGTCTTACTTTTCAGCAACTTCCATCACCCTCTCTCTCTTCTTCTGGGTGCGAAGCTCTGAATTTTCCTCACTCCTTCATCTCCTTTGAGCTCCAAACAACATATATACAACACAGGCATCAGATTCAATGGGGATTTGATTTGATGTTCTTTCTTTTCTTTTAATTGGTTGAATTTGTAAAACAATATAGATTCTGGAAATGAGAGCCGGACTTGGTACGATTCTGCAAACTCTGACGTCGGAGGCCGCAAGTATTTTGAACCAGTCAATTGCCGAGGCGGGTCGCCGTAACCATGGCCAGACTATGCCGGTCCATGTGGCTGCAACTCTGTTGGCTTCGCCAACTGGGTTCCTTCGCCAGGCCTGCATCAAGTCCCATCCCAATTCATCGCACCCACTTCAGTGCAGAGCTCTCGAGCTCTGTTTCAGCGTCGCTCTCGAGCGCTTACCGACGGCCCAAAACGTCTCCGCCGGCTCAGAACCACCGATTTCCAATGCGCTAATGGCCGCTCTTAAACGTGCTCAAGCTCACCAACGTCGCGGCTCTTCCGAATTGCAGCAACAGCCCATGTTAGCGGTGAAGGTTGAGTTCGAGCAGCTAGTTATATCGATTCTCGATGACCCAAGCGTCAGTAGGATTATGCGGGAGGCGACCTTTTCGAGCCCTGCTGTTAAAGCTACGATTGAACGGTCTTTGAACTCGTCGGCATCTGTGGTGAATTCGTCCCCTATTGGATTAGGTACCCACCCTTCTCCGATGCCTAATCGGAATCTTTATTTGAATCCACGGCTGCATCAAGGAAATGTTTCCCAATTGGGTCAACCGAGAGGAGAGGAAGTGAAACGAATCATGGATATTTTGCTCAGAACGACCAAGAGAAATCCAATCATAGTTGGGGATTCGGAAACAGATGCAATGGTAGAAGAATTTATCAGGCGGATTAACAAGAAAGAACTGACTGAAGGGCCGCTGGAGAATGCTGAGATTATATATTTGAAGAAGGAACTTTCATCAGATGGAGCACAAATATCCACAAAACTTGAAGAATTGGAAGATATGTTAGCGACCCGAATGACCAACTCAAATTGCGGGAGTGTAATTCTAAACTTGGGGAATTTAAAATGGTTGATTGAGCAGCCGGCGAGTTCTGTTGCCCCAGGTTCCGGCGTGGTGCTGCAGCCAGTTGTATCAGAGGCCGGCCGCGTTGCCGTTCAGAAGATCGGAAAGCTATTGATGAGGTTCAGGGGCGAAATTGCTGGCCGGCTGTGGTTGATCGGAACTGCTACTTGTGATACCTTCTTGAGATGCCAAATCTATCATCCCTCCATCGAAAGTGATTGGGATTTACACGTTGTTCC